TCGCCGGCGTGAGGTAGGTTCGACGGGGCTCGCCGAAAATCGGTCACGGTGGCCGGAAAATGGCTTTCTATGGCCGGATTTGTTGAAGATGAAGGCTAAGGGAAGTCGTTTTGCTCTTGAATGCTAAATTAAGATGAAGATGAAATGAGGATTGTGTGCTAAGGTTTGAGGGTGATGTTGTATTTATAGGTGAGACAAAATTAGGATTTGATGTATGATTTGGGCTTTTAAATTGCTAACACTTGGGCTTAAAAATCATCCTATGTAATTGGGCTATTAAAAATTGATCGGAACTTAGACTAAATTAATTAGTCGATCGAATTTAATAAAATAATTGTCTAAAACAAAACCGATACTTGACTAACTAAATCCGATTTTTAATATTAAAAATCGATAACTTCTCCACGACTTAGACATAAAATTTAATACTCGATTTAATGTAAACAATACTAGATAAATGCATCAAATAAGGAAACTTGTTATTTATGAAAATAAAGTCGAGCTTCATAAATAGTAAAAATATACGCGGCGTTACACCTCAAGACCCGATTTCTTTATCGATTTATTTAATTGTTAATATAAGTATTTTGTGCAGTATGGTAAAAAACGACTATTTTTTATCTTAGCTCATGGAAATTTCTAGATCCGCCGCTGATCTATATATATAAAAAAAGAATTACCATTTTTCAAAAATGACAATTCAAATTTTGGTCAAACCTCTCTCTTCATTAATTATTTTCTATTAATGGCAACTTCTTTTTCCTTTTTTGTTTTAACTTAACTTTAATTCAACTCTATTATCTTTAATATTATTCATATAATTAAAAAATACAAACTAATCATTCTTGCACATTACATCAACTTTAATTCACTATTCATCCACTCACATAATTTTAACAATCAATCATTTCTAATCATTTATCTCTTACTTTATATCAAATCAATTTTAGTCATTTTATTTTAAATATTATTTTAATATATTTTTTAAATCCCACTAATAATTAACCACACTACTTTTTCAACTTTAACCATAGTTAACCAAAATGAAATATTTTGAATAAAATAATTTATGAACAATCATGCCCTTAAATTTGGTGGTTAGTTACTACAGAAAAGGTCATTTTTTATATCTCTAAAACACATACCAAGGATAACTTTGAACAAAAATTAAGATTGATAACTTATTCATAAACAATTAATTAAAAAACAAACAAACCAATTTTGTGTCGAACATGAAACATTGCAATTAACATTTTCAAAAAAAAATATACAGAAATTATTAAGAAAAAATTTACGTTTATTTACAGTCTTATTTTGATTTATTTGTGGTCAACCTAATAATTGTTGTATGTAATTTTTTATTTTATTTGGAGAAACTGTGAAATATGGATTATGAAAAAAGGAAGAGGGGAGAGAAATTAGAGGGAATCATTAAATTATATTTCAATCTATAAATTATTCAACTCACTATTAAGGAAGTTATATGATTCAAATTAAAAATATACTTTATTAGTATAACTGAGAATGTATAAGACTACAAATAACAATGACCATCTACACACCTGGTGTGTCCAGGTGGAAAAAAAAAAAGAAAAAAAAAAGAAAAATGAAAAAAGTAGGGAG